GCTCGGGCTCGCGCCTGCCTCCTCTCAGCTCAAACACGATGACGTTTCTGTGAACGCACGCAGAGCGGGTTTCGCTTTTTATTCCGCTCTTGGAATCGCCTGCGGGCTGCCGAGCGCTCACGGTGTGAATGTGACAGCGAATCGCGCTGAGATGCGATAAAGTCCTGAGCTCGTGTGGCGGAGCCGCTTTCCTCCTCTTTGCCCTTCAGCCACAGAGCGCGCGCTCCCAAACTCCAGGCTCGCGCGTAACCGACCGTCGCGAGGCCAACTTTTTCTTTTTTTTTCTCCCTCGCTCTCTCTCTTTCCAAAGCGTAGACCTTGCTCGCGCGCAAACCGGTGCAGGTGTAACGCTGCTTCCACTCAGCAAACGGCTGGCCAATCATTAACACTCTCTCTTTCTCTCTCTCCCCTTGGGCTACACATGTTTATGTTTTTTTGTGACTACCAGGTCTTTTCCTCCGATGTCATGTGCCCTTCAGAAAGCAAGTCTGACTGCATTGCATTCAGAATGATAAGAAATGTCTCCTAAATTTACACTTCAACATCCAATAATCCAATAATTACCACATTTATCAAAACAGTTTATTTATATAGCAATTCATTTTGGTCAACAAATAATCAATAAAAAAACATAATATTTAATGCAAAATTCAACTACAGGAGAAATACATCATGGGCTGATTTCCTGGTCAGGGATTAAGCCTAGTCCTGGACTACATTTTCCTTTCAAAAGAGGATCTCCTTTCAGAACTCCCTGTAGTCAGGGACTAGGCCTAAAGGTGAATTCTACTGGCTTTTTCCAAATTTCTGCATGATTAAAACTTTGAGAAGTAAACAAAGTCAGTCGGTGTGGTTGGATGCGAAACGCTCCCTTCTACAGAAAGTCAGAATTGTTCACAGCGGTGGTGATAGGAACCAGATGTCTTTAAAGTTTTATGCCTCTAAAAGCTCCCGCACAGAACGTTTTTACAGGAAATGGTTATAAATGCGCAGCCTGATGCTGGAGGCATTGTTTTATGCTAGTTTTGAGATAAAATTTTGGCCTAATGTATTTTTCTTAATCTGTGCATGCTGGACAGGTACATGTAAGTGTTTTAAGGCAAAACAATACCCCAAAAATACATATTTGTTTCAGATTTACCACAATTGTATCATCAACCATTACATATAAAAACTCAGGAAACCCATATAGATACACTAGCCATCTTGGATGGTAAATAAAGTGGCTATATTTGGATTGTAGACAGTGTGACCCCTGGTTCTTATCACTACCACTGTAAAGAAATCTGAGCTGGCATGTTTCTCTAGAATGCAGCAGTCCACATCAAACCACTTCGAATGACTTTGGTGACATCTCCATGATTAAACTGCACAGAAATTTTGAACAACAAGTGGAATTTGCTTTTAATCCCTGTCTGGGGAAACCAAGCCTACATGTAGTATCCAGACACCCATTCTAAGTGAATTCAGCTACTTCAAGGTGCACCCATTACTGATACAGGTGTTCAGTTACGCAGTTGTATAACATCCACAGACAAGTATTGTAAAATGGGATGCTCTGGATCAGCTGCACATGAACCTAAGGTCACAATGCCCAAGGCCAACTGTAGGCTAGAAGGGTATAAAGCCTTCCTTGACACCCCATTAAGTACCTTCTGGATGTGTTGGAGTGGCATTAGTTATTTAGATCTAATCCTCCAACATCAGTACCTGGCCTCACTAATGCTCTTGTGGCTGAATGCAGTTAAATTCTCACAGCAATGTTCCAACGTCTAGTGTGAACCCTTCTCAGAAGAGAGAGCTGTTGCAGCAAAGGGGGAATAAACTCTCAAATAATGCAGCTGATATTGGAAGAAACGTTGGATGAGCAGGTGTCCACAAACTTTTGGACATACAGTGTACATCAAAGTGTGTGCCAGGGTCCTACACAATATCTTTAATCAGCTGTAAATTTGTACAATGGCCAGTTTAACCCATAACCGCTTAATGCGACCCTTCCCATCTTCACTTGCATATGAAGACCCCCCCCCCACGTCATAGGTAAGTATGTTTGGGTTATGTGGGGCACAAGCCACATGTGGGATCATGGAATGCGGGCTGTTATCTCCTCTAGTGTGCTTTACAGACCTGAGAGTGGTAGCAGAGCTTATTGCCATAATACCACCTAAAGCCCTCCTGTACTTAAATAAGAAGAGTTTCAACTCTTTCACCCAGACTAGCTGAGACAAATGTAAGAATCTTTAAATTTGTTTCAGTTTTTGATGCTAAGCATCATTCTCAATGAATACTATTAATCTATTAACAGTTTATTAATCTTATCAGTCTTCCGACATGCTTGTGTATGTCAGATAAGCTTCAGCGCCACATCCAATGTCATGGTCTCACAAAAATAGGCTGCAAAATCCCATCCAATAAGCCCTGCCCAGCCTTATGAATCTTTGCTGAGAGCTGATATCTCTGAGATCAGCCTGAGAAGACAGCAGCACCTGCATATGGGCCTGTGCGCATTATCAGCCAATCAGATCTGAGCACAGCATGAGCCCGCGCAGTTACAGAGAGGAAAAGGCCCACACCGTCAACATCCGCACACGGGAACATTCCAGAACACACCTCCGGCAAGAGGTCCTTCATCTGAAACAGCTTCTCAAAGGTGACAAGTGATGGTAGAGAATGACAAATGATTCATTCAGCATGAAGAGAAGGAAACTGTGTAACATGATTTTTCGGAAGTGTTGTTCATAATGGATAAAAAATTGACTGTTACAGTGGAAAAAGGAACAAGTTTAGTACAGAAAACATGAAACAAAGCAGTGGTATGGAATAAAAGCATGGAAAACTAACTACTCATCACTGAACAGTCTTGTAAGCAGAAAAAAAGAGGAATCCAGGTAAGCAGTTTCTGTCCCAGCAATTGCCTTTGCTGGGGGTGCTCAAGTGCTCAAAGGGACTAGGAAAAAAATAAAAGACCATCAGTCCAAAATATATTTCAAAACATAAGCATTTCCACATGCCAGTGACATGACAGAGACTACAGTAATATCCATGTGATCCATAGCCTGGAGAGAACCAAGTAAACAACTGGCTATCCACACAGAGAATAAAAGAGGCACCATCTGAGATCAGTATAATGTTTAATTATTCCTCACACAAGGAATTGTGACAAACAGAAACATTAAGGCGCTCATTGCAACAATCAAACAAAAGCTCTAACTTTCCTGCAGGAAAAAGGAATCATGAGAATGTGGTTGGCTATATTATTTCCATAGTGAATATCTTACAGTCTTGAACAGAGGGAAACACCTGAAGAGGAAAGGGTCCTCTTTGTTTTATACAGCTGCCAAAGCCAGCATTAACATGGCTTTACTTATTTTTGGCAGTAACTATGTTGATGTAATAGATTTTATTCAGGTGAAAATGATGTACAGATTTAAAATCAAGTAAATTAAATGCATTTTGCAGTGCTCACTTTTGTTTTTCCACTGGGCAGTGTGGTACGGTTGCAAATCCCTATTCATGCATTTTGACATCTTTTCCACTGAGTGCTCTGTACCATACCAGGGTACACATGCTGAATTTAGTTACCCTTCTTGCAAGGGTACCAAGTGTGCCTGAATATATGGGTGGAGCTAGTAATGGGTCAAACGGAATTGTCACGCGGAGTCAGATGACCGCCACTGGGGGAGAGAAAAAAACCCCACACGAGCCAGCCTGGATCGCTTTCTGTGATTCACAGAACATTAAATGGAGTAAAAGGTCAATCAGAACTTGAAGCTCCTCTAGTGCTGTTTTTGTTCACTGTTAATGCAAGATGGGCATATTTCTGGTTCTGTGATGGCAAACAGACACAAGTACTTGATTGGGGTATGGATAGTTCTTGGTTTAGATTTGTGACTGTACTGTGCTGTATTGTACTGCGCAGTGGAAAAACGGCAAAAGAAAATCAGAATATGGTGTGCTAAACTTGGATCAGCTGAACAGAAAACCTACTCCTATTCTGAAATCTGGGTCCACCCAAAGAATATTTTGCCATATTCGTCTGCCTTGACAGTGTCATTTGAAAGAACTTTGAAGTGCTACATGCTTTCTAATGCATGCTAGCAAACAGATTTTATCAGCCATTTCATTTGAAAAGAAAGCAAGAAGTCTTTTTTGTTTTGGGAAGTATGTAAAAGTTCAATGTTCCCATGACAGGCAACGGGAAAAATGTTTTTTGGGTAGAACTGCAGTTCAATAAAGCCAAAGTTATTAATTTGTTTTTGGCTCGTCTTTCAAACATAATCATGTCTGCTCACAGCCTTTTTGAGACTGCAATACTGCACCACATTAGAGAATACCGGCACTTTAAATAAAACTCTTAGTCACACTTTCAGTATAGCTTAGGCAGCAAATCTGTACCCTTCTGTACAACATTCTCCCAACACAGAGAGAGAGAAAGTGAGAGAGAGAGAGACATTGTGAGCTATGTACAGTGTTTTGACTTTGTTAGGAATGCAATGTTTCCATAACACCGTGCCCAGGTGCAGTTAAAATGCTGCCCAGTGAACACAGGCTCACTGTACATGTAAAGGTGTTTGACACCTGATGTAGAACAAGAGCCAATAGTCTGCTGTACTAGCTCTGTTGCTATAGTGACCTGTCTCTGCCCACACACGGTCCATGACAGACAGGACCATACATTGCAAAAATGAAGCATCATGTTCATGAATTACATAAACAATGTGCAATAGTCTTCATTGAAAAAACATGCCATCTGCAGTCTGCATGTTTCTTTATTCCTTCTGGATAAGAAAAAACATTGAAAATGTAAGTATTCTGAGAATGGTCACCAAAAAATTACTATGGGAGCCACATATAAAGTGACTGCTGAGAATTAAATAAAAAAAAATCTACTAACAAAAAAGCACAATCACCGCATCCATTCCTCACACAACTGATGCCACTCAGTGCATTCAGTTCCCTGAAAGGACAGTACCCTGTGTCATAATGTCTGCAGGATATTTCTACTTCTCTTGACCACTTTTGCGAATCTTGTACCTCTCCAGAAACTCAGCGTGTTTCTGTCTCAGGATCTCCTGCTGCTTCTTAAAGCCGTTCAGCCTGCAAAATAATTAAAATATATATACATATCAAAAGTCTGTAATCAGATTCCAACCCCTGTGCCTACTCTTCTGGTTTACTTCATTGCAAAAGCAAAATTGATCATAAAGGAACACTCTGACTACAAATTGGGTCCCACATGAACTGAAATACCAGAATGATGTACTGCTAAGCATATTAACAATAAACAGATATCTGCATTAGCCTTGGATCGATGACTGACATTATCGAATTTTACAATAATTAACATGTATCAATAATATGCAAACTACTGTTCTTCTCTTTCTCGTGCCACGTGATTTTTTTTGTTGCTTCACCTTTATTTAACCATTCCTGTACAACAACTGTACAACAATTATACAACTGTAAACTATGGTCAGTTTAAAAATGCATGCAATCGAAAAAAATGCACTTAATTATAGGCTACACAAACAGATCACTAACTAATTGGTTACACACAAACATACTCTGAACGTCACTTGGAACGATTACAACAGATTTTCAAAAAAAACTAATAAACTCCCTCCAGAAGGGGGTTTTAACAGAGCAACTGGCCATATTTTGGTTTTCAACCGAACAAATGTGGCGAACCCAGGGATGTTAAAGGTGTTAACATGTTATCTGTGCAAAATATAGTTATCATTAGGGGTGGGAATCTCTAGGCACCTCACGATTCGATTACGATTCAGAGGGCTGCGATGCGATTATAAAACGATTATCGATGCATCTTGATGTATCTTTTTTTTTCTACAGGATTTCTATTTTCCTACTGTCTGAGGTCTTGGTAGTTTTAAAGCATAGTATTTGTAATGATCCATAATGCATTTACGTCCAATATCTTTTAGTAATAAATCAAATGGAAGTGATGTGGCAAGTGAACTGGAAGGCTCTCATTCACTGCTCTTGTTTGGAGCACATGAGACGCTGCTACCACTCATCTGCGATAAAATGCGCTGTTAGGGTGACATAAGATCCAGTGGTAATGGATGTCCACGCAGCACGTTACAGCTTTCCTACCCGTTTAATTCAGTGATTTTATAACTTCGATTTTGGTCTTGTTGTAGAGGGGGGGGGTCGCTGTGTCAGTAAAATATCTTCGAGACTGGACAAGATTTAAGACGAACATTTGGAGACTAATGGACTTATTCACATTTATAAGCAACATAATTGGTTTCCTGGTACGTTAAATCTGCAACAAGAGACTGTCAAACACTAAAAAGTTGCGAAGATGAAGTCAGCTTCTATTTCGAATTTTCCCGTTCCACCTTAAATGGTGCAGTGGTTACATTTGGCGCCTCAGGCAGAATTTAAGATGGAACAGGAAAATTACAACATTACGTTCTAAATTAAATATTTAGAAAATCAATTTTTGACATTTATGAATCGATTCAGAATTGTTCATGTCCACATCGCGATGCATCTAAGAATCAGGTTTTTCCCCCACCCCTAGTTATCATTATAAATTATTGGGTAATATCACAATTAGCCGAGTTGGTAATTATATAGTAATAATATTACCATTAAGGGAAAATGAAAGCTGTAGGATAAGATAATGTTTACCAACCCTGTTCCTGGATGCACACTGTCCTGTACATTTTGGTGCTTTCACTGCACCCAAATCATCTGATCCAAATCATCAGCTTATTAACAACCCTATTTACTGAGAAAGTGGATGTGTTAAAGCAGGGAAAGAGCTAAAATTTGCAGGGCAGCATGCCTCCAGGACCAGGACTGGGAAACACTGGGGTAAGGCTCTGCAATGCTCACATGTGGTACTCTATAACTAAATTTGAAGCTGAATTGTAACTGACTGGGTGGTATCAATTATTATGATATCTAAGCTTAATCTACACACTTTCCATCATATTCTCATGGGCTAAAGCTACACTGTAAGTTTTGGGGACCTCTCTGGCAGAAATGTGTAATTGCATGTAATATGTTTTGTGTAGATTGTGCTTCTGACCCTTCCTCTACCAGAGGAAACTGAGGATTGCGAGCGTGTTTTAAGAGTGTTCAAAGAGAGGTCAAAACTTTGTGAATGACACATCTTCTGAGGATGTAAATAAATTATCTTCTATTATGTTCTATTGTCATCATCTCTTCATTAGTATAATGTTGATCGTACATTTGAGACCTAAACATCAAGCCAGACCCTCTTTGTGAACCTGTGCATGTGATGTTAACATTGTAAAGGTGCATCCCGTGGTCTGGAAAACTCTAGCGAAATCTGACCAGACACCTCTGGCTTTTAAATTATTTTTTTAGACTAGCAGCAGCGCATGGACATTTTTTTCTCCGGACTCTGACATGCTGCTGCTTTCACTTTAAACATTGCTCTGCTTTCATACCTGGCTCTCTCTTTGGACTCCTTGTAGATTTCAGTGATGACCCTGTCTTTTTCGTCCATGAAGGTATTATGTACTTTTTCTAGCTTCCTACAAAAAGTAAATATGTAATGATGTAAATGAGAGTGCTACAGAAAAACAAACAAAAAAACCCTTACAATAACAAGCAAACAAATTCATCTTTTTCAACAGGCTCAAAATTACTTCACCCTACAGGCAGTTTTTTAGTTTTACTTAAATGGCTGCTATCTTTTAAAACACTAAATACAGAACAGAGTTGTGTTGCCTTGTTACAGTGACATCTGGATTCATCATAGTCTAGTCCGTAACATCTAACTCAAGGCAGTTTTACTTTTGGTGTAAGCTCAAATTTTGTTAACAGCAGGCCTTCAGCCTAATGCCTGCAAATCTATTTCCTGTGTCCTGTCTGTGTGCCTGTGCCTGGTAGGAGGAAATGAAACCTTTACTTGAAACCATGGTGGAAGTACGGATGGTGCATTATGGCTATAAGGTCCCATAGAACATTCAGCATTTTTTCTTTTTCTTTTGTTCCTAAACCTTCATCTGTCAACCAGTGATGTAATCACGGTTTGCGATGTTCAGTACCAGTGCAGGTGTAAAAACATTAACCAGATTATGACAGGCATGAAAAATAAATAAACACAGGAACCTGGCAATAGCAGTGAATATACATTACTGAAGTTTATCTAGGCCATGGGATAGACTTTGAAAAAACAAACAGGAACATTATCGTTTTCTATCAACGACCAATGTACAAGCAGACATAAAAAACAGACACCAATATTTAGTGATTCCTGAAACTTCAGAGGAACCATCACTTTTTTCAGTATTAGGGGTCCAGTAATAACAAGGCCAGTATTTGGCTAAAATATTAGCTGCCAGGGTGCCTGTTTTCTCACGCTACCTGAATCCAAAATAGTGAATGCCGATGCTGAGCAGCATGGCCACAACGCAGTAGCCCACCAAGCGCAAATTCTTCTTCTTCTTCTTCTGCCATTGTTCCTCAGAGTAGTCCTGGGCATGCCGGAACTGCTCCCAGTAACGCATGCGCTCGGCCGTCTCCGCACTGAGAGAGAGAGAGAACACATTAATTACCAGATGTTAGAACATAAGGACAATCATTATTTAACTAATAGAAGTCTGTTTGCATTTTAACAGGCAGAAGCTCAGTGTCTACTGTGTGAAAATGTTCAAAAAAGTGAAGATGTGCATTGAAATGTTTGAATAATTTCATTACGTGCATTAGAACTCACTTCATGTAATAGTTAATGTAGGAAACCCTTTCAAATTGGACCATTTGATTTATAAAGCACAAGACTACAAACAAATTATCATTCAATTATAAGCAATTCTCTTTTATGTTTGTTACCTGGGGTTGGATGTATATGTGGAGGAGGGTCTGAAGATCTGCTCTCCACTGTAGTGGTGCCTCAGCCGTAGGTCATACTCCCTCCGGCTGCCCTCCTTACTCAGCACTCTGTAAGCCTCATTCAGCTTCACAAACTGGCTATGTAGACTTGGGTTAGATGGGTCACTGTCAGGATGCAGCTACAGGAAAAGAAAAGCAATTGAGATTGACATTTTCAAATAAAAGTAAAATAACAGAAGATATTAAGCTGCCCATATCCTATTTTTCTTGTGTCTTTTTCCCTGATATCCATTTATATTGTTTGTATAACATTAAAACATCTTTTTCCATGACTATTTTCCAATCTCTCTTTATCCCTTAGAATTAAACAGTTTATAGCAGTTCAGTCAGAAATACTCTATATTAGGGATGCACAATCGGAATCCGCCAGGATTTTTGCTCAAAACACAAAATCAGCTATCAGGTAATTTATTGTTTGTATTTTGGCAGACGTGTGTTGGCGAATTCATGACAAAATGTGAGGCAAGTAAGCACATTTGCAATGCATCTGAATGCTGATGCTACACCTATAGCAAAATAGCAGTGAGGGGCCTCTTACTTTTGATGTTGCACTTGATTTGATGTTATTTAAACTTGCAACTTTCTAAGATTGAAAAATTTCTGCCAGCTTGGCCCATTAGCAAATAATATTATTTATATTGAGATGCTGGTTAACAGAGAGTTGGAAGTTTGCTGGTGTGTTTCATGTGTTCATTTAGCCAACACAGTGTGAGCTTAAGATTTAAAAAAGCCGATTTGGCTGTAAAGAAATCAGAATCCTGCATCAAAATTCATGATCAGCTGCATCCCAACTCCTTATAACTTCGACATGAATGGGTATTGAATGTATTGAATTTATGACACAACAAAAATAATGGATTCAAAACAAGACATCTTTGCAGCTTAATTTTCATTTAAGGACCTTAGAAAGTGAATGAGAGGTAAGGTGAAAACGTTCACATATTGTATTAAACTCTTATACTAAAAACAGTGAGGAAAACGTATTTTATTCCATGTTATAGCCCTTAAATATAACAAGCCAAGAAAAACGTTTTTTTATGATTAAGAAAAATCTCCCATTAACCTACACTTAATCTATACCCATAAAAAAATCAACTGATGGATGTACTGAATGTATGAGGGAAGGGCAAGGGAAATTAAATTGTTTAGAGGTGGGCAATATGGCAATATTTTATTATTATCGTAATACATTTTTTATCATGCTAAACAATATGCTGCTCTAAGCATATTGTAAGTACTTAAGGAACACTGACCAACTGCATTTTTCAATAAAAGGAGAGCATAATTAGTCTTGTTCAATTGGATGTAGTGCAGTATATGAAATGTTGAATAAATTTCACTGTACCCAGAGTTTTTGATGACAGTTTTTAGATGCAGCACTACTGGTCCATTATATCTGTGTGTAAAAATATTGTGATACGTATCGTGTATCGTGAAAATGTCTTTAAGTATGTCTAAATATGATATTTTTGTCATATCACCCACTACTATTCTGAAGTACATAAAAATTAACATGAATGCACTGAACACGGGTAGCAAAACTGAATATGCACCAGGTTAACTCTTATCCTCTACTGTACTCCTCTTTAGTGAGTTCTTTCATGCTTTCATCTAAGTTCTCCTATGGACAAAGCACCCTCATCCTTCAAACCCCGCACAGACCCTGTACACTCGCCCATCACATTTCACACAGACACTTACAAACTCACCCTTTTCACATAGAAACACATACATGCACACTTCTTTCTATATTAATCATGCTGAAAGCATGTGTCCCACTTCATGCAAAGTCACAAAAAACACAGATGCCAAAATCAACACTTCCTGTGAGAGACAAACACCTGGGCTCAGCCTAAATATGCCTACATGTACACAACGCAGAACATGGCAGCAATAATAGGTCATCAGCATTATAATAACTCAACAGGCCCCTCTAGTGGTAAAGAGGACTGTGACCAGAGAAATATCTAATGTACCTTAAATAGCACAAAAACAGAATGTCCTTGAGAACCCTGACCCTGGCTCAAATAATGAAAATGGATAGAACAACTCCTTTATAATCATGACAGTAACAAGCTGTTGTACAACATAATTGGACACAGAGCCAATGTAATATAATCAACTGAGGTCCAGCTAGCAAGCTATTCTGCCACAGGCAAGAAACGTCCCTTTCTGCTGAGTGGCCCCACATTGCTGGGTTTATGATAGTGCCTACACTCCTTATAATGTAACCTGTCATTCTGTCAAATGAACTCCTTTTTAAACTTTAAATGTGCCCTAGCCAGGATTACGCTTGGATACTGTAAGTCTCTTTGTATATCTTCGCATTTCAATAAAAAGGTACAGGCTTTAAAGAGCTGGAAGCCAAATTAAAGGTAAAAGTATTAAAGATAAAGGATGTTTAAGGTTCAATTTCAATACAACTGCATTCAAGTATACTTAAGATAAGGGAAAGATAAATGAACCTTTTTCGACTTGTCAAAAAAGGCATTCTTTATTTCTTCCAGTGATGCTTCAGGTTTAACTCCAAGAAGGTCATAGTAACTCGTGGATGACCTGCAAACATACAGAAAACAGTTTAACCTCTGTCTTCATGCCAAAAGTTCCTGCTGTGCATGTGATGACAATAACAATATTAATTTATGACAAATGCTTTACAATTGCCACGTCTGCATGAGATTCCATTTATTATGGACATAACTAGCAATTTGATTAGCTAGATGCTGCCCTGACCTTGAATCATTAAAGACTTTACAGCTTCTCTGCAGTGCGCATTATGAACACTATCAACCAGATTCACTTCTGGAGCCAAGTCGAAACCAAGACTACTTTGTGTGCACATAGATTAACATTTTGAACTTTTTAGCTTTGTTTTTGTTGAACATCCTGATAATAATAAGGTACAATGTATACAATTCTTGCACAGTATTTGGAGATGGGTCAATGTAGTATGGTGGTTTTAAAGATCATCTTTCACAACATGAGGGAGCATACATGGTCCAATAAAGTGTAAAACTGTGCTTAAGTTGTAAACACTTACCAGTGTGCAGCAGAAACTGAGAGTAAGCGCCGAGAGAACTTATAGTACCACATGCAGTTGTGACACAGCCGCAGATGTGCGTCCAACTGCATAATGGCCTGACTCCTTCAGAGAAATTCAGAGAACATACAGAAGAATCTAAACAGAAAGAGACAAGGCATTAAGCGAACACCAAAAAAATTACACAAATATCCCTAGGAGATGGACTACAGGACTGCGGTTCTTCACTTAAATGCTTCATACCTCCAGACTAGGCTTCATCTTTTATGTCTGGAATATAACTCTTGTATGTTAAAGTAACATTACTAGTCTAATTCTTGGTGATTCTGTGATAATCTATGCATATTTTATGCTTCTTAATTTACATGTTTTGCATACTTAGTACAAAGAGGGGTTCAGAGATACCTCTCAGTGGGACCCCATTGGAATGAACTTTGGCAATACCGTCAACACTATGTAGCCAGCTGCCAAGCTAGCTAAAGTTAGCTCTCCTGTAAACAGAAAAAGTAGTTTTACTGACTTTTACACATGTTAAGTGTTGTGACATTCATATTAGCTAATTAACGAATGTCAATGCAAAACGATTAATAGCAGAACATGTCCAATATGAGGCGAATAATTAGAAAGCGTATAAGAAAAACGGAGGTGAGTTTGATAGCTGGCTAACGTTAGCTAGGTTAGCTAAACAACTTTTTGCTCCAAAGTTAGCAAAACTAGCTCGTCATTCACTCAAGGTCGGATACGTTTACGATGTTTTACGTACAGACTTTCAAGGTATTTCGCTACAGTTTGTTTAATGTAAGTTAACCATTTGACTAACTAGCTACCCTAGGTTAACTCTATGAAACAAAACAGACATTGAAACAACCTTAAAATAGCAAACCTGACAGCCGACAGCTAACCGTGCAGGCTAACTAGAAATACGTCACCAAGTTATATCAAATATTAAATATGTCTTGTAATCAAAGACTAATTGCTCGCAATGACAACAACAGAAACGTACCGGTACACTACAACGTTAACCATTGCAGTTTCATAACAAATGGACCAGAGAGCAGCTGCATAAACCGCGGTCAGCCATACAGCAGACTAGCAGCGGGTCATATTTCTCCGCTTCACGTTTTCGTGTTTTGGACAAGTTAACCCTTTACCTCTCCGTGGGTACTGAACACTGGATTTGTTTATTTATCGTGCAGGTTGAAGCTGTCTCTGTGATATTTTCCTCTAACCTTTCCATTCATTGTTATTGTACAACCTTTATTTTTCTTGTTCCAAAATAAAAGTCCTACAGCTTGATCGTTGTGTTGGATCCTATTAACGTTATCATTAAACCACGCTTTGACATCTCAGTTTCAATTTAGCATTTTATTCAAAGTAAAAACTTTTGTTTACAGTATTTCTGTAAATATATAAAAATATATTTGCATACACAGATATTTCAGTTGACCACTAATAAATTAGAGTTCTTGAGATTTACAACGAAGGTAGAGTAGGCTTGTTTCGTTGTCTTCACTCCTGAGTCATGATGGGTTATCAGCCTTTAAAAACACAGATAAGAGAGACGCATAGATGATGGCTTATTGTAGTAAGAATCTGACAAAAGACTAAAAGGCGGTTTCATACTCTTTCTGCAGCTGGCACACAAAACACAAAACTAGCTGAAAGGTATAAACAAACATCAAAACTAAGCAGGCATGCTGAAAATTCAATATAGATAATTTTATAACAAACTATGGAAAAATAAGTTAGCATTCCATTCCATATATATGCAACCCCATTTCCAAAAAAGTTGGGATGCTGTGCAAAATGTAAATAAAAACAAAATTCAATGATGTGCAAATCATTTAAACCCTATATTTCATTGAAAATAGTACAAAGACAACAAATCAACAAAATGTTGAAAACTGAGAAATGTTATTGTTTTTTGCAAAATATATGCCCATTTTGAATTTGATGACAACAACACGTTCCAAGAAAGTTGGGACGGGGGCGTGTTTACCACTGTGTTTCATCACTTCTTCTTTTAATAACACTCTGTAAGAGTTTGGGAACTGAGGAGACCAACTGCTGTAGTTTTGGGTAACAGGTCTGGACTGCAGGCAGGCCAGTTTAGCATACTGACTCTTTTATTACGCAGCCATGCTGTTGTAATACAGGCAGAATGTGGTTTGACATAGTCTTGCTGAAATGAACAAAGCCTTCCTTGAAAAAGACGTTGTCTGGATGGCAGCATATGTTGCCAAAACATGTATATACTGTTCAGCATTAATGGTGCCTTCACAGATGTGCACGTCACCCATACCATGTGCCCTAATGGACCCCTATATCATCATGGCTTTTGAACTGTGCACTGATAACAACCTGAGTGGTCTTTAGTTCAGAGAACAGAGTGTCCATGATTTCCAAAAAGAAATTCAAATGTTGATTCGTCGGACCACAGAACACTTTTCCACTTCACCTCAGTCCATTTTAAATGAGCTTGGACCCAGAGAAGGTGGCAGCATTTCTGGGTTCTGTTTATATATGGTTTCCTCTTTGTGTTTTAATAAGCATTTATGGATGCAGCGCCGAACTGTTTTCATAGACAGTGTTTTTCATAAGTTTTTCTGAGCCCATGCAGTGATTTCCACTCGAGAATCATGTCTGTTTTTAATGCAGTGCCACCTGAGGGCCCAAAGATCATGGCCAGCAAATACTGGTGTTTGCTCTCGTCCCCTGCATACAGAGATTTTTTCAGGTTCTCGGAATCTTTTAATGTTATTATGTACCGTAGATGATGAAAAGCAAAAGTTATTTGCTATTTTAAGTTGAGAAACATTATTCCTGAATTGTTGCACTATTTGATCGTGCAGTCTTTCACAGATTGGTGAACCCCTCCTCATCTTTCCTTCTGGAAGACTCAGCCTCTCTGAGATGCTCATTTTATACCCAATCATGTTATTGACCTGTTGCCAATCAACCACCAGGTGTTTTTTTAAGCATTACACAACTTTACCAGCCTTTTGTCGCCCCCGTCCAAACCTTTTTGGAACGTGTTGCTGGCATCAAATTCAAAGTGGCCAAATATTTTTCAAAAAACAATAAAATTTCTCAGTTTCAACATTTGATATGTTGTCTTTGAAGCATTTTCAATTGAATATAGGATTTAAATGATTTGCAAATCATTGCATTTTGTTTTTACTTACATTTTTCACAGCATCCCAACTTTTTTGGAAATGGGGTTGTACATAGTACTCCCATCTTCCATACCTAGGCTACATATTGTACTAGGCACAAAATGTTTGTACTACCGTGGAGTGAGTGTAGAGATAATGATCTAAGAGGTAAGATGCCCTCAGACGTTGCTCTTCTTCATTATTGTACTGGATTGCTTCCAGTAGAGAAACACCATTCAGCTTAACAAACTCTTCAGCTACCTGTGTGAATAAGAGAGAAAGGTTAAACTGATGTGGTCACATGAACATAGAACATTATTAGAGATTATAATTCATCTTTATTGCAACATAGTCTAAAAAAACAGATGTATTCTGGGCTTTTGACAAGACCTTCCGTTATTCCACCTAAAATTTCATGACATAAAAACCTAAAGAACAGTCATATATTCTTGCATTTTATTGATCATTCTACTAAATAAAGACCTCCTGAAATACTGATTGTAGCCATGTTTCCAATCGACTTTCTGTGCAAACTGCAAGTGACAAATGCAATTTCCACCAGACTGACATTATGCGATAAAATTTTTTGAGCATGTACCTTTTAGAAAGGCAGTAATCATTCTGGACATCTCTTTCTGTAACAGCTGAAAAGTGGCAGCATTTGTTTTAAAAGCACTCCTGTCTTCTCCTCAGCCCAGCTACACCTCTGTCATGCTATTTGTGAGGAAAATCTGTCACATTACACTAAATTTATGCTTAAATGTATTATTTTTTCCCCATCACAAACATTTCCATTACAGGATTTCGCAACATTTCAGGTACCGAGAAACACTTTTCAGTACAGTTTAATGGTAAAAAAGATTTGCTGACATTCATAAAATAATATCAACAAATCCTGTTTCCATAGCCTACATCAACAAACTTCACTGGAAAAGTAGTTGAAACTAATTTCTAAAATGAATTTCTAAAATTAATTTTCTTGGTATCTTGAGCTGCTATTCCAGCTTCATTAAATTTCCCAACAATGTTTTTGGCCAGTCGTAAATTAGCAGGTTTTAAAATATAAAATTGCATAGTATCTGCAGTAGCTGCCATTTAAGTGAGAGAAAAAGCTGACCTCTTTCAGGTCCACTCACCTGAGGGCTGTTAGCGGTCAGCAGGTACAAAACCTCCAGGCTTAGGGTCACCACATCTGGATCAGCCATTTTAAGTGTGGCACAAAGGGCGGGGAGCAGGCCCGCCTGGGTCAGCTGAACACAGTACCCTGTCCCATTGTGGGCAACATTACCCAGAATCCTCAGAACCTGCTCACAGAGGAAAAAAGACAGTGGTTATGGTGACAGATTTGTGTGTCCACACAGTTCTGAAAACTTAAGATCTGTGTCACTTTAAGCCAAAAGATTTGTGCCCCTTCAACCTGGTAATGTAAATGTAGCCTAAATTAGTATGTTAACAGTTATGTTTATGGTTATGTTTAGGCAGCATGTTAGAATTTTTGGGATTCACAAACAAGGAAATGGCTGCAAATAAAAATCAATAACAGGTAACTTAACCTTGCAACAAAAATATCAATTATAATAGTGGCTAGACACCAAATTGTCCATACTGCAGATGCTTGATCCACCTGTCTCACCTCAGTCCCCTGTTCAGACAAAAACTGTATGCAGTATTTGTGTATCTCTCTTGCCCTCACCATAGTATTGATTCCCTTGGAGAAGGGCAAAAGCTGGAGTAGTGCTGGCACCATGTTGCAGAACAACAGAGCTGAGCAAAACACTGTGGAACCAGCTGCAAACAGTAACAGGACACTGATTATTACTGTGAGAATTGCATTATGCATTGGCAAGGTATTCACTCAATGACATACATTTAAAATGTCTGTTTTCTGTAGTTCCCAGCTAATCTATAAAAAATGTATTTACTTATCTATTCATTTACTGTGAAAACTGAAACATGGCACAGCATCAAAGCGTTTACTTTCGCTGTCACCTGTGAGGTTGTTGAGGACCCATAAGCTCTCCCTGGTCAGAGCAAAGTGAGAGGAAAGGTAAGATTGGCAGAACACACACAGAGCAACTAAGAGACGAGCATCCTCTAAACCTACAGGACATCCTGAACCCTCGCACACCCCACTGGCGAGCAGGTTACCCAGGCAACGCAGCAGGGGCCAGATCAGCTGTAGAGCAAAGAAAGACTAAGTAGATTAAATATTCTGGTGTTGTAGACCAGCTATATTTACTTAACAGGGTGGGTTACAATGCATATATTAAACTGTATTTTACATATTTATAAATAATAAAGTAATATAACCAGGGCAAATTAGAGACCTTATGAAAACTCACCAGTTCCAGGCCCTCCTCAGTGTTTCCTTTAGCAACAGCCCCTCCCAGTGTAATCAAAAGGTTACAGCACTGTGAAAGGACTCCTTGAGTCAGTAAGGCACATGTATCAACAGCACTACAAAAAAGAGCAGAGCAGCAAATTTACAAATAGATAAACATCCAAAATAAAAAAAATAATGAAAATAGTTTTGCTAAAATTATCAATAATAGAACATTAAAAAGTCTGAACTCATGAAAACAGGTGAACAACACTGACCTATCATGTATATTCTTTAAAGTTTGTTGTAGAATATTAGAATATTAGAATTTACAGGGAAAAGAAAGCTTGTACAAAGTGAGAAAATCTCATACCGTGACACTATATATTGTAAACACCAGGCACATTCGATGGCTGGTCCAAAACCAAACTCAGTGTCTGGAGTCAAAATCGAGGTCAAATGAGGGACCAATCCAGAGGATATGACCAACCTGAAAAACATACAACATTCAATTACATTTAATGTGCTTACACTATAACATTCATCCTACTAGTGTTTTCACAAGAATATATAGGGCTATGCTTTTGAAGAATTATTAAACCATAGTATTCCACAGTTTTGCAAAAAATGCTTTGCTCTAAAAGCTGTAACTCACGGAATAACTCTGTCTGCAGCATCTTTATCCTGGAGAAGCTGGGACAAAGTAAAGCCAGCTGCCTCCACCACTGCCAGGTTACATCTCTGATTCTAAGGACAGCAGACAAACCTAATTAATCAAATTAGAAGACAGTGCAATCCACCAGAAAACATTCCCTTAGGATCAAACTAACAGAATATCCAGAAACATTCAACTGACATTACAAAGGCAGATAAAGAGTTGTGTGAACAGTAACCAGCTGGTCTAAAAAAGAAAAAAAAAGTGATTGTATATTTATCTAAAACAGTTAATGTAGATTTATATAAACTTATGATGAACTAAAATCTAATACCCCAAGAGCCAGTTTAATGGACATGTATTAAGGTGAGTGTTGCACTAAATTGTAATGTCAAGTGTGTTTCCCCATCACAAATCACCATTTAGACTAGGATTAGGCTTAGTGTTCCATCCTTATAGCCTGCTGTGAGAGTCAAAGGGGAATTAAAGAGGCTTTTCAAAATTTCAGCATAATTCAATCACTGTAATGTAAACAAAAGTTATTCAGGGTGTGAAATGTTCCAAATTTACAGAACTCATTTTCTTTACAGTGATGGTAATACAGGGATCGCAATGTCTACAATGCAAATACATTATTAAAAACCAACCAGTGAATCAACATGTGTCTTCTGTGTTTTACATGTAATATTGGTGATGGTAAAACAGTGGGAAATTCACTCTGGTGAATATCGTGCCTTACAATGGCATGCATGTACCTCTTTACCACAAATGTATTTAAAAACCTATGTTTTAGGTGAAAAGCTTATCTCAAAACTATGGCAAAAAAATCTCAAATATCACAGAGTATATGTAACTATTTCATGTAATAACTTTATGCGAGGGAGCTTTTAAAGGCATTAAACTCTTCAAATGTCTGGTTCCTGTCACCGCCACTGTGAACTATTCTGACTCAATAAGTTTCTCTAGAACACAGCATTTCACATCAAACCACTCTGAATGACTTTGATTCAGAGTTACCTGAATGCAGTTAGCAAGGGCAGGCACTATGCCTTGGGCAAGCAGCTTCTCTTTCACCACAGCTCCCTCAGTCCATAGGTTCCCTAACGTGTACAGGCAAAGCTCCTGTGAGAGTACAAGTATACACAGGCACACAGAGGGGAAAAGAAAACAGCTGTGAAACATGAAAAATTATATAAAGACACTGAATGATCCACAAATAAAACAATCCCACCTACTGTGAGTTTGGCACAGGGGCTGGAGAGGTATGTAAGGAGGTAAGGAGTGGCAGGTAAACAGGACTGCCCTACACCGGGGTGAGGAGAGTGAGAGAGCTCATGGAGACACCTAGCAGCTTCCAGCTGACACTGGGCATTGTGTCCACTCAGCTGTCCAACCAGCACATACATGCTGCTCTCCAGCCTGCAGAGACATGAGCAGACAAAGGCTCAATCAGTGACACGCCTTGCAAGGAAATGATCTAGTAATACCAAAGAAAGGAACTCAGCACTGCAATACATCTCCACGCCAAATCTCATTCCAGTTATTTTTTTATTGCATTGGCAGCATTTAATGAATTTTGGAACCCTGATGTAAAACCAGTTCAATGCAGTTCACACCAGTCAATTCATGCAAGAAAGTAAAACAATCTGTGCATTTGAACATAATGCACATACTTAGTAAACATGAGGTGTGTCTGAGGGTCTCTCAGTGCCTTCCTCAGCACAGCCAGATGTGTGGCTTTTTCCTCTCCACCACGCTGCACACTGCGTAACATCTCCTGTATCTAGATGTAAACACATACACATTTGCTTTACAGGGCCCATATCTTACATTTTCTTATACTTCATTTTTTCTCCACTTCACATGTTTGTGTACTTTTACATACTAAAAACATTGTTCATTTTTTACATGGCCTTGTTTCACGCATCTCTTTAAACAAGCAGTTATTTTTACTGTGTCTTTGAAACGGATGTATGTAAATGACCTCTGTTCTGACTGGCTGTCCTTTATTGGCCCTTCAAAAAAACAGTCTGTGCTGAAACCCTTATAACTTCAATATGAATGGGCAGAGCTAACCCGTTGTAGGTGGAATAAACAGATATGTAAATATATATGTAAAATATTGTGATATCACAAAATTCGTGAATTCAAAACAGAAATGCACCTCCAGGGCCGGGGAGTGGACGGAATGTTTTGAAACTGCAGCAACCTTTACTACGTCAAACTCTTAAAGTTCAGTGTTTGAATTCATCACAATTTCATGGGGTTTTCTGGAGAGGAGTTACCTGGTCTGGAGATACAGGAGTCCCGTCTGTTTCCATGAACTCTTTCTCCTGCTCATCTTCATTTAACAGAAGCCTCTTGCTAATGAGCTGTCTATCCCTCCTCGCCTGCCTCAGTGCTGTAAAAGGGGATTAAAATGCCTCTGTCTCGCACTTTTAACAGATAACATATATTACACATAACTTTACGTGTACTTAAACACAGATCAGGCTCCCAGCTAAACAAACACCTTTTTCATGCTCTCTCCTCTTGTGCTTAAACTCCTCCAGGTCCTTGGCAGAGCGGCTCGCTTTGTGATGAACTGCTTTGAGTCGCCACATTTTACAATACAGTTTTACTTCTCTGAGCTATAAACTATTCATTTTAAAATCTATTAACTGATATTAAACCACTAACTGTGTCTGCAAACATGCTCTGTCACGGAATTTTAATTTCACGGAACCACAAACCGAGGTAGGACGAATCAAACTGCTGCAACAGGAAATTACATTGACGACTTCAGAATTAAAGTCCGTTTAGTTTGAACAGTTCACTTCAGCACATGATCCTAAAAATCAAGACAAAGTATGACAATTTAGTTTGAAGACTTTAGTGACCAATTGATTAAAACGAATGTTTTTTAGTCACACGCTGCTCAGACGGAAAATGAGAAAGTTAAATTGTATTTTAGGTTACTGAGCACTTTTTAGAAATTAATTCAATAACATTCTTTATTTTAAGGTGAATTCCACCCATTTTTAAAATTGAATATATTTTAATAGTTAAGGTGTAAACGCGGTCCAGAGCTGTGGATGTGAAATGCTCCATTCTGGAAAAATTTATCAAGTCAGAATTGGTCACAGTGGAGACAAGTACCAAACATCCAAAGTGTTAACCTCTTTAAAAACTGCCTCAGATAAAGGTATTACATGTAATAGCTTATTTATGTTGTCGCTATTAAAAGAGATGCTGCTTTTGCACAAACTTTATAAACCAGCTGTTGTTGGTCACAGCTACGATGTACATAGGCAGAGTTTTCTCTTCGTAACAGCTAATTCACTACTCAGCTCACGTCTGACACACTACAATAAATGTTATTTAATATCATACAATATTGACATTGCCTGATGTGTGAGGTTAAAGTTTTGAGATAAGATCGTGGCCTAAAGGTTATTTTTTAAAATCCATTCATGATGAAGAGGTAGATATGTGTAGGGCATTGTAAAGAAACATACTTTTTCACATTTACCATTGTTTTATTATTATCAGCATTACACATTAAACACCAATGTAGGTTCACTGGTCTTTTGGGGTTGATAAACGTATGTTTGTTGTAGAGGTTGTGACCCCTGGTTCCTCACCACCACTGTAAAGAAATCTGAGTCTGTTTCTCTACAATGAACCACTTCACATCAAAATACTCTGGTGACAGTTAACAGTGAAACATAGCAGTTTCCCATCTTCACTCCTTCCTCTTCAAAAACAGGACAAATCCACTGGTTGCTTATTCTAATGGATGTGCAGGTTAGAGTTTTATTTTTTCAACAGGTGATTACAGCGGGAGAGAGATCAGATCCCCGCATGACTTCAGAGCAGTTTTGTAATAAGGGGAGGTTGGCAGGCAAACGAGTGGCAGTGAAATATAAAGCGCAGGCGGGAACAGTTCATACCAGCGCAGCTCCGTTTAGGCATTTATCGCTAAAAGCTCGTCGAAGCGCCAAAGCGGCGTCTGATTTAAAAGTCATTTGAGCGCTTTCTACAGCAGGGGCACGCACACACACGCACACGCACACGCACACACACACACACACACACACACAAACACACACACACACACACAGAGAGAGAGAGAGAAACATCCAGAGAAACTTGGGTTATCGTAATCGAGCATCACTGATTAGTCAGAGGGCAGATATTCCTGTCCGTCCGCGTTTTGGCGCGCGGTGCTCGTGCCTGCTGGAAAACATCTCAATCATCGTTTTCCAGATCGCTAAAGGGCGAACAGAGCATCATGCCCGGTAAGTCAGCTGCACTAATAAGACACAGACGTTATGTTGTAATGACTCCGTGCTGATCTCTGTCGTCTTCTGGATGGGGTAAAGGTCGTGGGGGCAGCGCTAATGACCCGTGCTGGAGTGTTGCCCAGGTGAAGGGTCCAGCTGAAGTGAACCCAACAGAAGGTAAGAATCACTGCTGCTAACACATTTGCAGCTCACGCGAAAGATTAGGCATTTTGCATATTTAAATCTGTCTCTTTCTGAGGCTTTCAGGCTTTCAGTTTTTTTGTGTGCATTAAATAAATTCACTTCGGTCTGTGAATCATCAGGACCACAACAGCCACCAAATTCATTGCATCTGATAAAAACTAATGCACCTGTTAATCTACTTATTAAAACTACTTTTTGCAGTTCTAGCTACAGGATATTAAAAGGGAAACTCCACCGATTTTTCAAAAATTCTACATAATGAAATGGTTGAGATGTAAAGTCATTCAGAGTGGTTTGGTGTGAAATGCTCCATACTAGATTTCAAATCTTACCAATCATCAACATTACATATACAAACTCTGAAGACACATGTAGGTTCGCTGGTGGTTTTGGACAGTTAATAAAATGGCCATGTTTGTGTTGTAGATGGCATGACCACTGGTTCCTATCACCATCACTGTAAAGAGTCTGTAAGTTTCTCTACTATGAACCACTTCACATCAAACCACTCTGTTGACTCTGTTAACATCTCAAGGACTGAATTATTCAGAATTTATTAAAAAATTGGTGGAATTCCCCTTTAAGTACCCGAAGATATATAAACTGGTCATTGTTACTGACATTCCATGAGATACAGTTAGGCATTGCATTATATTCATACACATTATATCATGTCCTGTTCATATATTTGTATATAACAATGTAATACAGCACAATTTGCCTCTTTGATCATTCCTATTCAAATATAGCACCAAATCCATTTCTTACTTATTGTAATCAAGACGCAGGTTTTTAGACAGGCTCACATTTTCAACAGGTATACAGCAGGAGTGAGATTAAATCCCTGCAGGACATCAGAGCAGTTTTGTAAGGCAAACATGTGGCAGCTGAATATAGACTGCTTGCTTTATAGTACAGGTAATGTATTAATGTAGGACCTAAGACCACATTTGAAGTCAGATGTAATTATAAGTGATCCCCTATGGTCCGTTATTGCTCAAAAGGCCTATAACTGTGATGACAACTTTATTAGTGTAACTGACATATATTTCAGAACCCATAATTGATAATATGTTTTATAAGTCTGAGCTTTAACAGCAGGCCAAGTAATGTTTTATAACTGCTGGAAGGTATGCTCGAGGATTAGATGAGACGTTTTCTCTATAAACTGCAACAAAGTTGTATCTAGGTGACAGCCATTCTAGCCTTTATTTTGCCAACTCAATGTATCCCTGTCTGTCGGTCTATAATTAGAAACCCTTGTGGCTCATAAATATTCAGTGAGGTTTTAGTGCTTCCTTTAAAAAAAAAACAGCATGAGCACCCAACAGTGAGTCAGACAGTGTGTGTCAGAGTGAGGAGGAGGGAAGAGAGAGTGAGTGTGTGTGAAAGAAAGAGAGAGTGAGAGAGCGAGGGAGGGAGGGAGGAAGTCAACTCTTTGATATGCTGATACTCTGGGGATGAGAGCAGATGGCACCTGGTCCCAAAGCTTATAGCCAATATCTCAGCATCATGGACCTGTTGTCACCTGAATTCTCGGACAAAATGCAGTTTGTGGCTCTTCAGCTGTTCATCGTACTCTATACCATTTGATATCATAGTTGAAAAGCATGCTGTAATTCAAGCACAGTGGCAGTTGTGTAACATCCCACCCTTGCAAAAAAATTACGGATAGATAAAAAGGGATTCTGTTGTAGCAGGCCCCCCACAGCCTTGGGTCCCAGTGCGTTTGCCCTCCTGCCCCTCTATAGTTACATGACTGCACAGTGGAACAACCTCTGTTAATATTAGATTCACAATATAATAATGACGAGTAAAGACATTACAGATCGATGTCTGAAACTTTGTAGACACCTACTCATCCAACATCTCTTCTGAAATCAAGGGTATTAACAGAGAGTTGGTCCCTCTTTGCTGCAGTAATAGCTTCTAATCTTCTGGAAAGGTGGAAACATTGCTGTGAGGATTTGATTGCATTCAGTCACGAGAGCAGTAATGAGGTCAGGTATGTTGAATCATTTGTTCTGGATCACAAACACCACTCCAGCTCATCCAAAAGGTTTTGGATGGAGCTCCATCATTCTAGAGAATGCAGTTCCACTGCTCCGCAGCCCAATTCTGGGGAGTTTTACACCCTCTAGTTGATGCCTGAGGCACGGTGGCCTCAGATTCATGTGTGGCTGTTCCAGTGCTTTGGACATTAAACTGTTTGTCTGCAATCGAACACCTGTGCACAGCAGTGGGTGCACTTTAAAGTAGCTGGATTCACTTAAAGGGAGTGTCTGGTTATTTTCATCATTTAGCATCTTCAACACATTTGAGAAGGCCTTTTGAAGAGACCTAGCAGGGCTGATTATTATTAATATGATTAAAATTATAAAAGAATATCATGTTCATGATGTTTTGTATGAATCTATCAAGAAGGGTTTGGGAATCAAAGCATACTTCAGGCACAACCACTTGTAGCTGCAAGCACAGCTTCCAAACCCGGTTCATGTGTTATATAAACAACCACGAGAGGGCGCACTTCGCTACACTATGAATGCGCGAAGAAGTTTTGCCCCTCTTGCAGGCATTTTGCGTTTAGTTGCTTTCTGTGGCCTGCATTTGTATGCAAGGCTCATTCCGAGCTCTCAACCATCTCTACATTTTATAAATGAAGAGTTTATTAAAGAAAGAGATGCGAAAATCTACCATGGACTGCAGCGTAATAAAGCCGATGGATTTACGCTGCTCTTCGGTCCGGGCTCTTGTGGAAGAGGCAGTTCGGCGCTGAAGGGGGCATTCAGCCTGTAAGATGGTGTGTCACGGGGCAGCAAGTGATGCCCCCTCTGCTGCCCCTCCCCGCCATCATCCCACCCTCCCGTCCTGCCGCCGGCAGGGGAGGAAGAGCAAAGCGCGCGGCGAAGGCAGGCAAAGCGGCGCGCTCAGCTCTGCAGCTCCACAGAGAGAGTCGCTTCCACAGATTCAGGTTCAGGAACTCTATGAAGCAGAGAGGACTCTCCTTTTTCTCCTCGCCGGGGTTTGTGGAGCAGCCACCGAGCAGCGCGGATGAGGATCACACAGCGGGACGATCCCTAATGAGACCCAGATTGATCCGGTAACGCTAAAAGATGAAATGTTTCTCCCGTTACCTGCCTTATCTCTTCAGACCGCCCAGCACCATCCTGTCCTCCACCTGCCACACAGAAGGTAGGGTGTGTGTGTTTGGGAATGGAGGGGGAGTTGGATGTGTGTGATATGCAGGGTTGGGATGTAATAGAAAAGTATTGGGGAAACATATCAGGATACAGAAACGAAGCACCTGTTTTCAGTCCAAGTAACATTTTGTAAAGGCAGTATTCAATACAGTTTATGTGAATATGTACCGACTAAATAATATATATATATATATATATATATATATATATATATATATATATATATATATATGTATATATATATGATAATTATAGTTATAATTAATTTATTTAGAATCAGTGCGTGGCATGTAGCAAACATGCTTGTTAGATGAATTCTAAAGAGAACATCAATTAACAACATCTTTATAAACACTGCTAAAGCCTGAGTAGACTGATAAACCAAAGTGATGAGCCAGTTATTCATTTCAGCATTACTGAGCTCTTTTGATGGGGAAATTGAACAAATAGTTTCTGCAGTTGTGGAAATGTTTGCTAGTGATAAATTTGGCATCTGTCTAACACTAGATTCATGCTTGGGGGATTGTGGGAGCAGCAATGGACTGAAGGAGGCGGTGAGAGAGAAAAAAAGTGAATTTTGGAAACTTTACTTAAATGATAAGTAATTTTTTTTCATGAAACATATTAACAGAATAATTACATAAACACAACCAACCAGTAGCAACGAGGAACAGTGTGAATTAAGTTAAAAAAAAAAAAATTCCCAGCTGCCTTAGTAAGATGTGTTCTACATGTATTATGATACTTTTTTATGTGTTGTAACAGAATACATTGCTGAATACTTTTAGAGCAACATGTTCAGTATTCAGCCATCACTGATTTTTCTAAGTATTTCGGAGTTACTGTAAATGTTTGTTTTCATATATTTTCTATTCTTTCATACAAATGACTGTAAAATCAGACAAAACTGTCTTAACCTACAGTTTTTGGACCAAAATGTGATTTTTACTGATCTATGTTTATTTTATTTTTTACTGAAGGGGCAAAACCATTTTTTTGGTCACTGGTGTTTAGAGCTTGGCTTAGAAAATAAACTATTCTGTGCAGTATGCAGCATTATTTTCTTAGAAAAACATTAAATAAATACAAATTAAATACAAATTACCTTAATACAATAATACAGTAGTAGTGATTTTATTCATGTCATAGTGGGAATTTAATCATTATCAAACCTCATCTCATGGCAGCCCACTGTTATTTGTAGTTATTATCCAAAACCTGGTTTGTCAAATCAGTCATTCATTAAAAGAAATCAGCTGTGCTGGAGATTTAATTTAACAAATTCATGTGACAGCTGGCAGTATTGAGGTGTTGAGAAGTTGAGAATCAAACCTCTGTTTTACCAGCTAGCTCATAAGATATCAAGTACTTCATTGAAAAAGAAGAAATTCCTGCTACTTTTTACTGTAGTTATGATTATTTTGTAATTTATTCTAATGTTACACGTGTTTATACAATCAAAAACATGCTTATTGCCCAGAGAAATGGATTTAAACAATTTGTCTAAGGCAGTACTCTGTGTGTGTGTGGGTGTGGGTGTGTGTGTGTGTGTGTGTGTGTGTGTGTGTGTGGGTGTGTGTGTGTGTGATCCTTCTATGCATGCTTATGTTGGAGATTCTTGTTGCGGTCCTTGGAGGTGAAAGAGTACAAGATCTGCTTCTTAAGGTTGCTTCCTATGAGTGTATGACCCTGTTTGCTGTTTGTTGGGAACAGACATTGTCAGTGTATTCCTGAAATGCTGGTCTTACCAATGCAAAGTTGAGCTATGTGACTGAAGGTAACTGAAGCAGAATGAATTGTGTCAGCAAGTCAGTTATTATCAAACTTCTGAGCTGTGGGGTTGTCTATGCTGCTATTACAATTTAACCCACATGCATTATTCCCCAAAGAACTGAGAAAATTTGCGTGGTTTTGTGGTCTTCATTCATTTAACCAGTGAGACTTATTTAACAGTGTGAAGACAAATAACTGCCTATTAATGCAGTTCTCATATGCAAGTTAAAATCTTGTTTGCATTTGTTTATTGTGCATTCTTGATTGTAACAAAACAGCTGAACTAGTTGTGTTTGTATGTGAAGCTTCTCAGTCCTTTGCCTTCTGTTTCTGCATGTTACTAAGCCAGGCTTTCCCACACTGTTTGCTTAACCAGATGACTTGTGAGCAAGACCATGTGACAGTGCATGCTCTGGGGCAGTGCTGCTTCTCAACTAATGCTCACTGTTTATAATTCTTGGGAAAAGCACCCATGTGACTTTATAGTAGAGGACTGTAATGATCATTCTTCTTTAAAAGCGAGAAGGCAGGCTTCCATGTTGTGTTATTTATGTACACTCGGTTGGTGTAATTGGATTAGAACAGAATGTGAGAATAATAATAAAACTGCATTCTCTAATTTAAACAAACCTGTCACTGCAAAGATGGCATTATGATCCTTTCCATTCAGCCAAGCCATTTATAGTATTATCTAGTTTTAGTGTTTGCATTGTGACATTTTATGGACCATGAATGGCCTTGTTTGACCTCAGCGTTTGCTCTCTCAATCCTGCTTTTCAAACATATCCAATGTCCTTGACCATAAATGCAAAGTCACATTGGAATCACTCACAATGCTCATTATGTAAGACACTGGGTAGATATTGGATCACACATTCATTGTGCTGGGCTCTGGGGCAGGATGTTTATTGGGATGTTGCAGTCTACAGGGCTTAAATTGTCTGCTGCATGCCCCTCAGGTCTCACATAGACATGCCGGTGGATTTATAGTGTGTTGGAAGGGGAAGGGCCGTGTGGTTCATGTCAGGTCTCTACTAAAATAGCCAGTTGTTTGTCCTTTAATTGTACCTTACCTAATGTCTCAATACATTTAAAGACTTTGGATTTGTCCCCTTTAATTTTAGTAGTTGGGACATCAACAGCTCTTAATTCATACAGTACTGTGCAGAAGTCAGAGACCACTCTTAATTTATTTAATTTTCAGTCAAAACGACCATTCATCACAAGTGATGCAGCAATGTTTCTGAGGACATTAGATATAAGATAATCCACTTGCATAAGGAAGGGCCATGTGAGAGTAAAATAAGTGAAAAAAAACTCTGGAGTTTCCAAAATTGGAGTTACAGTGTGATTAGAAGATACAAAGAAAATGGGACTGCTATCAACCGTGAAAGAGCAAGAGGACCACCAGAACTGTCACCATGTCACAAACAGCACTTAAAGCTTTCATCTCTGAAAGGTAGGAAAAAATCAAGCACCACTTCTGCTTTAGATATGAAAAAATCTCTGTCCATCCTTCCACTGTGAGAAGACAATTTAACTATGGGTCTGAAGTGAGGTATAGCTGTCAAGAAGCTGTTACTGAGAAATAGACAAAAAGAAAAAGAATAACAAGCAAGAACAAAGAAGCTGCTGTTGTTCTCAGAAAAATGGACCACTGCAGACCTTAACATCATGGAATGTGCTTGGGATTACTTGGATTGTGATAAAAAGAAAATGCAACCAACTTCTAAGACTGAACTTTGAAGGTGTGGAAAAATAATACTGCAGATTTGGTTGAAATTTAAGGCATGTCTCCTGAAAAGAATGGAAGCTGTATAAAGGCAAAGTGTTGACATACTAAATACAGAAAAAACTTGATATTTAGTAATTGACTGCAATATTTTGATGAATACATATTTTCTGTTTTTTCTGCTGCTAACGAATGAATAACTTGTTTTACGGAAGTCCGGAGAGGCCATGAGCTGTTGTTGTAATTTTCTGAATTGTTTTCTTGAGATAACGAGTTAATTATCTTGAGATTTCAAGATAACAACTTTGTTATCTTGAGATCGCAAGCTAATTAACTCATTATCTCAAGAAAACAACTTTGTTATAATTAAATCATAATTAGATAATTTGACAATTAGATAGATAATTATCTATTAGATGTGATCTCGGGATCACAAGATAATTAACTCATTATCTCAAGAAAACAGCTTTGTTATCTTGAGATCACAAGACAACTAACTCATTGTTTTAAGATAGCTTTGTTATCCTGGACGCACTGTGGTAGTTTTTTGGATTGCTAATGGCTTGTTATTGGCTTGTTTTATCAGAGTAAGATCAAAAGGCCACTGAAATGTGCAGTATACTTCTATGCATTTGCTCAAATGTGATAGCTTGTGACACAAAGACATTAAAATCTGTGAATTTTGGCTTTGTTAGAACATCTTTACATAACAAAGTACATGCAGCAGAATTGAGAAATCATGTTTTTAAAGGAGTAGAGAGGCAGAAATGGCACCATTTTGCCTCAGCATTAATGGGTTAAATCTACAAGTTGTCCGTACACATTTGTAGGCACACTTTTATAATACTGTTCAGGTTTGTAACTAGTGGTCTGTCTGTAGGGTAGAAATGCATATTCAGTTCAATATGTTCTTTCTAAGAACGTGAGCCAGAGCACGTTGTCATCAAGCAAGTGATAAACCCAAAATAGATGTGATGTGCAGTTTGCCAGTTTTATAAGTATCTCATTCCACTGAGCGCTAGTAGGTGCAAGCAACATGGTGCAGGAGATGAGGAGCAGTTAATTGCAGGCAGTGAGTGAGGTCAGTGTTGAGGAGGAGAGCAATGAGGCTGCAGGCTGTGGAGAGTGTAGAAGAGGGTGGAGAGGTGAGGATGAGGATGGTGGGGGGTGTTATGGATGATCAGCTGTCCGTTTAGAAGGAATGAGGAAGAACTCAGGGGATGTCTCCCTCCCTCTTGGCAGGGTAATGAAGTGCACTTTTTGCTTTCTGCACAGGAAGCAAATGAACTGTGAGGGAGGGGGTGACGGGGGAGGGGGTCTGACCTAAATTGATATGCTACTGCTGTAACCTGGGCAAACACAACACAGCATAGAAGCCAGTCCTTCAGGGCTGAGATTTAGCTGAGAGAAGGGCTGTCACCGTCGATTATATTAGTAATCGAGTAATCTACAGATCGCTTTGACTTTTAATGAAGTAATCAGAGTTT